ACGGCAGCAAGCGCAGCAAACTTACGAATATCGTGTGCACGGGGATAGACCGCAGGCTGGCTGGTTCAAATAACCCTGCGGATGACCTGGGAGACCCGAACCCTGGAACAGGGAATAAGGGAAACCGGATCAACCCAAAGCGCGTCCATGGTCACGGAGGCTGTGGCGCGCAAATAACAGCAGAGAGTTGCAACTGAACACAACACACGATGCACCCCCGGCCTAACCAACCAAGTATCAACAACCCAAGGACCCCTCCAGAAAGCAGCAGTCTCATTCTTCGGCAGAAAAGAAGGAGACGGCTGCAAAACGAACAAACCTATCACCAGGACCAAAAGAGCAGAAACCCCTGCGCCAGAGGAGAGCACGAAGCTCCCCGATCCGACCCCCAGAGGCCAATGCCAACAAGAAAAGAGCCTTGGATAAACACTCCAGAACCGAAGGGGCCACAACAAACCGAGGAGGAGAGGAGAGATAAGAGAGCACCGGATTCAAGGGCCAGGATGGCTCAAGCGGCGCATGAGCAGGCCGGAAGTAAAACAACGCATGAGACAGATTGTGAAGCGGCGCAGAAGTAACATCATTACCGAAAGCAAGCTGCAGCAGCTCTACCAGCTCCGCACGATACGAGGCGACAATATTTGGCATAAGATGACGGTCCTGAAACAACATGAAAGGAAGGACAAGACAACCCTATCAGAAAAACAACTTCATACTGCCACCGAGACGAAGCACGTAGGTGGTACACCATCAATGAACCCACCTGCTCACCATACAAGTGATGATAAACTGGAGTCAGAAAAACCAGACGCGAAAACTCAAGGAGAAAATCAAACCAGCCACGTAGCGGACCGGACCGATCTGCTGAAAGAGACGGAGCCACAGGAGAACCCCCGGGTTCGAACAGGGGAATCAGGGGAGTCAATTGGGGAGGGAGGGTCTCTTCTGTCTGTGCCTTTTGGAGCTGGTTGCTTCGGGTAGCTCTTCTTCTGAGTTTTCGGGGTTTGGCTCTCCATGCAGTTTACGTTCAGGGAGTGTCCAACGTCCTTGCTGACAGTCTCACTTGATTCATATCTCTCTGCACAGAGTGGACCGTCGATACCGATTACTTCCTCTGGCTTTGCCGAATGTAGAGGCACCCAGACGTCAACCTCTTCATGTCAGAAGGGTCTCAGCTTCAGCTCCTTTATGCAGAGCTGTTACCCAACTGCAAGACTCCCCCCCTGCAATGGACGTTTTTTGGTTGGATTGGTCGAGGAAGGGGTGCATTTAGCTCTTTTTTCCTCGTCCAACTGTTGCTCCAGGTTCTTGCACGTCTTAAGTACAAAGGTTCAGGGGGAGAGGGATTCTTCTGGCTCCTTGGTGGCTGGCCCAGCCTTGTTTTCATGGGGGATCTTGCACGTTGTCCGAACCACAGGCAGTTTTCCACAGCTCCGCCTTTATCAAAATGTTGGGAGAGTGACTTACCTAGCTGGTTCGGCTTTCTCTTCTGCCTTATGCGTCTGGACCTGACACTTATTGGCATTTGTATGATGGTAAGGTGGCTGGTTGAATGATGTCCCACCTGCAATCTTCTTCTCAGCAACAGTATGAAGTTTCTTGGCAGTATTTTTGCCATTTCTGACACCATTTCTTTCACCATTTCCTCTGTCGTTTTCCTTCCGTTTCCGACAGGGTTGTTTTGCCTCTTCTTTCTTTCTTGGCCTTTTCTCAATCGGCATCTTATGCCAAATACTGTCACTTCCTACCACACTTCCTAAGTGTGGCTTTGGCCGAGCCACTTCAGCTCGCATTCAGGGTTGACTACTCTTCAGTCCCGTTCCACAAGCTTACTTATGCATTGTTACACCTCCGGCCTGCTCATTCCCCACCTTAGCCCGCGTGGTCCGTGGACTGGGTTCTTTCTTTTCTTTCTTCTGATTGGTTGATGGTGGCCCCTTTGGTCCGGGATTGTTTCTGGAAATTTCTGATTTTCCTTGTTTTGGCCTCTGGTTTTTAAGTAGGGGAGCATCATGCTCTGCTCCGGCACCGGGGGTTTTGTTCTTTTGGTCCTGGTGGTTGTTTTGTTCATTTGCAGCCTGCTCTTTCTTTTCTGGCGAAGAATGAGTCGGCTGGCTTCTAGAGGGGTCCTTTGATTGTAGGGGATTGGTTGGTTTGGCGAAGGCTGCATCATGTGTTGTGTCCATTGGTAGCTTTACGCCGCTACCTGCGAGCCACCGATTCTGTCTGGGTGGATTCTTTTTAGGTTTATCCGATTTCCCTGGTTCCCGGTTCCATCCCACATGTTTTTCAGGTTGTCTGCAGTGTCATCAAAGCTAGCCAGCCTGCGGTCTACCCTCATGCTCATGATGTTCGGAAGTACACCGCTTTGTCAGCTGTGTTTGGTAACATGTCTTGAGCCAATATTCTGTCACAGGAGTTTTGGAAGTCTAACAAGGTCTTGGCCGCCAGGTATCTAGTTAACATTCCTGATCCTCTGCAGCCTTTAGTTGTCCTGTGGCATCTGCCGCGATAGTCGTTGGTCTCCTGGTAGTCATCATCACACGACCAAATAATAGTCCAGGACAGACCGAAACATTGTCACTTCTCCATTTTCTGAGTTATGGTTTGGTCATCACATCGCCTTCAAGTTGAATGATATCTGTGGTGCTTCCGCCTCCCTGGTAAGTCCCCAGTTTTTTCCGTTCTCTGTGGGGTAGTTTGCTTCAGGGAGCCAATGGAGCGTTCCCCAGAAAACCAGCATTGAATGTAATGAAACACCAGTTTCTAGGTGAGCCCCAGGCTCCCTGAAACCCTCCTTTCCCTATTAGGTCGGCGGCTTTTCATCCTTCCAGAACTGACTGGTGGCCCCTTTTCCCCTTCCCTCTTCTGCCAATGAGGGGGGAAGTGGAGTTAACTAGTGGGGGCAGGTTTGATGAAGGTTTGGTTGTTTGTTTTCTTGTTCGGGGAGTTCTTTTGACATTTTGAGGGGACTAATCTTGTTTTTCAATCATGCAGTAGTCTGTTTTGATTTGCCTACCTTTCTGCGTGCTTCTCTGGTTGATGGCAAGATGATTAACTTTAAATGTAAAGTGTTCTTGTTCCATTGCTCCCTGCACCTCACTAAGGGGGCAAGGTTCTGGCACGTTGACCCCTGTAGGCAACAAGAACTCTGCAGCTGCTGACTCCAAGTAGTATGGCACTTAATCAGTAAGCTAGCTTCATAGAGCCTCCAGAACTCACCCAGAAACTGGCATTTCATTACATTCAATGCTGGTTTTCTTTCCATTTGTGGCAGCTTCTTTCCCTGCAAGTGCATTTTAAGGTCCCAGTTGGTGGTCAAGATTTACCTCATTCATTTAGGTTTTCTATTGTCTCGTCTTCCTCTGGCTGGCAGATTTGCTTTGGTTCCTGCTCCAGGATTTGGACCATTCTTCCAAGATGTACCCTAACTCTCTTGTGTGTTGGTCATTTTCACCGAATTGGCTGTGATTTCTGGACCTCATTTTCAACTGGCTGCCACACAATCCTTTGCCGGGGCAAGTGGCATTTTTGACTGGAAAAAAGGTTGGCTTTGTATTTCATGTTTTTCTGGAGAGTTCTTCCTTTAAGGCAATAAATTTTGTCTTGTATGCACCAGCTTTACTGTATGATATGGGTGCATATCATGCCCTAGTATTTTTATTGTGATGATTGTTGCAAGGGTAACAAGGCAAGCATCAGGTTGGCATAGGTTCTCCAAATATCTTTCATTCAAGAGCTTTTGTTGGGCTGTAGCAAGAGATCTTGGGCCTTCAGTGTTGCCTCCCCTTCCCCTCACCTCCTCTTCTGCTCCCACTACAGATGCTGTGCCTAATCTGGTTGCATCGCTTTTATGAAATGTTTTGATGGACATTTATGCTGCTTGCCAGACTTGTTGTGTTGAGTCCAGGTAATTTAGTGTTCAGGATCCTTGGGCTCTTGGATGAAGTAGATGTTCCTCAAATTTCCTTGGTCAGAGAGATCTCTCTTCTCAGTTGTGAACTCATTCCAGAATGCATGAGCTCCTGCTCAAGAGGCCTTGCTATGACAATGTAAATCCTGGAACAACCCAGGACAGGATGAATTCAAAAGGAGTCTTCTCTAAAGAGGAATTGAAAATCTCAGAGTACATAACTGTAGTGGTGCACAGTCTTCAGTAGCAACTCCAGGAAAGGAAACCCTGAAATAAGTGCAGAAGAGATGCAGATACAAAGGGATACTCAATGAAATTTGCCAACATGCTCATGAAACATTAGTGTGTATCACTAGTACTAGGATTGAAGTTTGAATGGAAGACTAGCCCACTTATCTGAACCAATAAAGCTACAGTCTCTGGCAGGAGCCAAGATGATGTTTGGTAGGAATGAATTGATGTTTTCAAGTTTTGTATATTATTATTTTCCAAATGTTTTTAAGAATGTTGTTGTGCTTTGTGACTTTCAGTGCCTCACATGCTCCTTTTCCTCTTTGTAGGGGCATGGCATAATCATTGGAATGGTTCTCTCTCAGTGGGAAGAGATAGTCACAGTAGTCTAACAAGCTGAATGTGATCTTACATGTGATTGTAAGAACTTACATGCGTTGACATGCTGGAAGCTATTTTTCTATTCCCAATTCGCTCTGAGTATAATATATAGTGGCTTTGTATAATATATATTAATATATATTATGTGCCTATGAGTACTCCACTGTATCATGTGTCTAATATATGCATGTTATATAAACAAAACTAATAATTATTATTATTGAAGGTGAAGGAAAAACCCAATACATGAGTAATATTAAACCAAAATTTCAGATGAAACTTGCATCACTTATCAAGGTGTTGGCAAATATTGTTTGACAGCACCCTGATAAAGAATGCAAGTTTCATCTGAAAATTTGGTTTAATATTACACTTACACATGTATTGGGTCTTTCCTTTTCCTACATTAAAACACTTTGTAAGTGTAGTAGGTATCTCCCTTATTATTATTGTTCTAGTTTAATTGTCCTTGCAGTATTGATGATGGTGATGAATTACCAAGTATTACCAGAACTTCAAAGATGAGTGGCAGTTCAAGAATACGTGAGCTACAGCAGAGTGCAGGATCTATGAATCATCCTGTAAGTAAAGACAAAATATTCTAAATATTTTTACCTTATCTGGAGAAGGATCATTAACTATTTATTGAGAAGTTTTATTAAAATTCTTCTCAAGATTATTGTTGGAATCATTAACATAACCTTTGCATACAATTATGTACTGCAACATTATAATGATACAGTTTGAAATTGACAGAACAAACTATATGAAGTAATGCCGAATTTTTGGAGGGCCTGAACTGTGGCTCCCTTTATCTTTGCATTTGCTAATATCTTTATATATAATAGATATCTTTGCTGAAATATCTCCATGTATACAAGTCTCATCAGTCCCAGGAGTCCTTAAAAGTGTGGCAGAGACCAGAGCCAAAACCTGGTTCACTCAAGGAGATGCAAGGTGCAGAGGATTATTACAATCCTCACCAATAACACATCTAGAAAGGTTCACAGAGAAACAAAAATTGAAAAAGCAAACAACTTTGCAAATGATCCCACCAGTAGTTAGTTCAGACGCTCTTAGTTACAGCTGTCACCAGCACCCTGGTAACTGTTGGCTTTTATATCAACAACGCTCAATTTTTCGCCTTATGTTGTCTATGTGGACCATTCTTGGAGTCGCCTAGCCTCTCGGGTCCCAGTTATTTCTAGTTAAATGTTGGCCATCCTTTGGACTGGTCGTGGTGGGGATTCTTATATCTCTTGCCCTCAGTCTGGCTATTGCTCCAGGTCCTGGTGTGATTGGAGTCAAACTAGGGAGGGTGATCCTTCTGGCTCCTTGGTGGCTGGCCCAGCCTTGGTTTCAGGCACTGCTTGCTCAGTGTCTGAACTCAGGCATTTTTCTGTGGCTCCATCTCTATCAGAGGTGTCGGCATAGTGACGTACGTCACTGGTTTGACCTCCACTTTATGGTGATCAGGATTAAGTGAAAAGAGCTTTGGAGGCGCTTCATGTACCTGCTTGATACCTGCTTGATGGGGTTCTGGGAGTTCTTCTACTCCCCAAGCTCGGCCCGAGGCCAGGCTTGACTCGTGAGAGCTTGGTCCACCTGGACCAAGCAAACATCACACTTTACTGCCATGCCGATCGTCCGCGCAGCCCTCCCCGCCCAGAGAGGGGGAGGGGGGAGCCCCGGACCTACTGCGCCGGCTGCCAAGCTTCAGTTCGTAAGCTAATGTCAACCGGGATAGACGCTTCTCTGGCCTCAGTTTCCTAAGCGGTGTTTACCTTGTGTGGCGTTCACTGCCGTGTGTTGTGTTGTGCAGTGGCCAGGAGTACCTTGTCAATGCCTGGGCTGCATGCACTTAGGGGCTTCCTTCCCTAAGCGCCCTGTGAGTACTGCCTTTGTGTGACAGGGTTATCTTCCCTGGGGCGTTCAGGAACCATTCCCGTAGAGGTTCTTGCTGCTCGGCATTTGCCTCGCCCTTGGGGCCAGCTGGGGCTTGGGGCCCTTGTTTGGCCCTGAGTAGGGATTGGTATTGTACTGGTTTGGGCGTCAAGGTGTTGCGCGACCTGCCACCTAAGCGGCAACCGGTTCCTGTTGCCTCTGGAGACGGTGTACTTTTCCGGGGGTTTTCTTTTGTTTTTATTTTCAATTGCCTGGTGGGGGTCTGCCCAGTGTGGCTATAGTTCCACTGGTAGTGTTTGGTGGCCCTCTGCTAGGCCCCATGATTGTACACATCGCAGGGGTTTTCAGTGCTATCCTCTACCCTCTTGTTATTTTTGGGTTTCTTAACCGGTTAGCAACACCTTGCCCGGGCTTCCCGTAGCAGTCAGCCTACGGGCCCTGGAAACCCCTGTCTGGGCTCGGTAGACCATTGAATGTGTCTTCCGGGTTCCAACCCGTCTTTTACGGGATCGTTGGTTGCTGTGCCCTTGTTTCCGGGTGACAGTCGCCACTTTTACCTCCGTCATGCTGCCTGTTGGGTCACTGACACCTTGACCCGGAGTCTTGCGAGAGAGATTCTCTGCTTGTTCTCCAGTACTCTCCTGATGTTATTACTGTTCAGAGTACAGGCAGCATCCGTGTTGCAAGCTAGGTTAGGTTGCTGCAACACGCTAGGTTAGTTTTCCACTCGAATGCCCAGAGGCCGCCCCGTTTTGGTTAGGTGCTGTTCGCTCCTTTTCCTCCCTGTTCCCGGCTCCGGGCCGCCTGCGGGTTTCGGGGTCGGGGCGGGGTTTAGTTGGGGCCGAGACTCGGGCGGTTTTCGGGGGCTGCCCCGTTCGGGTTGGGGGATGGTGTTTTTCGAGCCTGTTCCTCCTGCCAAGGCTTCTGGGTCTTACCAGCGACCCTTTCTTGCTGCCTTTCCCATGGACTCTTCCTTTTCTTTAAGGCCAGAGGGCTTGGAGGACAGCTCTGCCCCGGGGCCTCTGTTGCTGGTTCCCGGGGCTGTGGGGGATGCCTGCTAGCAGTTCTGGGGCGGTTTGCCCCTGCCTGGGTTTTCTGCTTTTGGGCGGAGTTTTTTGCCCATCCAGTCTGCTTGCTTCCCACTTTTGCTGGCGTGTTTTCGTATCTTTAGCGTCAATCACAGCCCTCTGTTCTGGCGGCCATTTTCTTCTGCTGGTTTCCCGGCGTGGCCACCAGGGCGGCGTTGCAGTTTGTTTACATGGGCCTGGGTGTGCGAGCGAGCTTCTTGGGTGAGTTTTTACCTTTTTTCAGGGGTTTTATTCTCCTGTTGTCATTTCTTTGCTTTTCTGGTGTTTTCTGCCTGTTTCCTGTTCCTCTGGGAACGTTTGAGTGTTGATTTTACACCGGGTTTTCCATTTTGTCTGTTTTGGGTTTGGGCTCAGTGTCCCTGGCTGTTTTGCTTGCTCCCACACCTTGTCCCTCGGTTTTCGGTCTGGTTTGACCGTTTCCCTGGGGGTTCTGTCTGGGGCTGTGCTTTGCCTTTCTGTGGTGTTTCTCCGCCAGCAAATGTGGTGGTTTGGGCTCCCCCTGGTTCGATTCCCGGTTCCTTTGGGTTCTTTGGTTTCGTTCCGGAGGTTTCTTCCTCTTGGGCCCCCATTGTGGGTTCAGGGAGCTTTGTTTTCTCGTGTGTGACCCGGTTCTGCCTTCTGGAATTCCGGGGCCTTCCTGGCATGCAGACTGATCTTTTTGGGTCTTGGCACATGTTGTGGTCATGCTGGGACTTGAAGGTTTTGTTGTTGAGGTGGGCCTTTTGATGCAGTTTTGTGCCTTCTTCGCCTGGCTGGCATGGTACTCTCTGCCCACTGGTCGGTGGCTTGTAAATTTCTTTTCAAGTGTATGTGTGTGTGTACACATGTACATGTGCACATGTGTATGTGCATACACACGTGTGTGTAACATACCTTGTGTGTATGTGTATATGTATACAGTACAACCTCGATTCAACGTACTATATGGGACCGACCCCAGTTGGAGCGTTGGATTCGTTGCAAGAGGTGACCTTCAGGAGGCATTTGCGTCAGTGTCTTTATTTTTCTTGTAGACAATAAAAATGCATTATCATATTATATACTGTACCTATATATTATTACTCTACTAAAAAATACTGTTACATTTGTTATTTACCTTATTGTTGGAGTTAAGTCCATCTTGAAGTCTCATGGAGTTGTGAATGCTGTACAGTAAATACAAACTGTAGTGTATTATGCCGTTAACACTGTGTTGAGTAGTTCTGTTGTATGTTGAGTACTACAATAAAGTTTATGAAAACTATTGTACACTAAAATTACTGCAACTTTAATTTTAACACTATATTTTGATTTGTCAAGAGGCTGGAGTGTTCATTCCGCGACTTTGTTGGACATATCGGCACAATCAAGGAACATCCGTGCACCATGTTGGCTCCAAATGCACTCATTGTGTCAGTGATGGCTGACTGGTGGGTGGATGGGCAGGCAGGGAGGCAGGCAGTGAGGCAGGCAGTGAGGCAGGCAGTGAGGCAGGCAGTGAGGCAGGCAGGCAGGCAGGCAGGCAGGCAGGCAGGCAGGCAGGCAGGGAGGGAGGGAGGGAGGGAGGGAGGGAGGGAGGGAGGGAGGGAGGGAGGGAGGCAGGCAGGCAGGGAGGCAGGCAGGGAGGGAGGCAAGCAAGCAAGCAAGCAAGCAGGCAGAGAGGGAGGCAGGCAGGCAGGCAGGCAGGCAGGCAGGCAGGCAGGCAGGCAGGCAGAGGCTGGGAGGGAGGGAGGGAGGCAGGCAGAGGCTGGGAGGGAGTCAGGGAAGGAGAGGATGGAGATGGATTGATGGAAGGATGGAGGGAGGGATGGAAGGATGGATGATTTGAGGGAGGTTGAGTTGAGCAGTGTGTGTGTGTGTGTGTGTGTATAGGCTGTAGGGGTGGGGGTGGGGGAGGTGTGTCGGTGGTGGTGAAGGGACTCGGTGATAACCCTAACTCATTGACCCAGTTAACTTTTTTTTAACTTGATTTGTTTCTTCAATTCTGGATGGATGGAGGGAGAAAGGGGATGGATGGAGAGAGGGAGGGACGAAGAGAGGGAGGGAAGGATGGATGGAGAGAGGGATGGAGGGAGGGATGGAGAGAGGGAGGCAGGGGGGGATGGAGAGGGAGAGGGAGGGAGGGAGGGCTGGAGAGAGGGAGGGAAGGAGGGAGGGGGGATGGAGAGGGAGAGAGAGGGATGGAGAGAGCAAGGGAGGGATGGAGAGAACAAGGGAGGGAGGGATGGAGAGAGAGAGGGAGGGAGGGATGGAGAGAGGGAGGGAGGGAGGGCTGGAGGAGGAGGGAAGGATGGAGAGAGGGAGGGAGGGGGGATGGAGAGAGCGAGGGAGGGATGGAGAGAGCGAGGGAGGGATGGAGAGAGCGAGGGAGGGATGGAGGGAGGGAGGGATGGATGGAGAGAGGGAGGGAGGGATGGAGGGAGAGAGAGAGAGGGAGGGAGGGAGGGAGGGAGGGATGAATGGAGAGAGGGAGGGAGGGAGGGAGGGAGAGAGAGTGGGAGGGATGGAGAGAGGGAGGGATGGAGGGAGGGAGGTATGGAGGGAGAGAGAGAGGGAGGGAGGGATGAAACAAGCATGGGGTGTGTACAGGGATTAGACCCGTCCACTTA